TAACATATGTTTCATATGTTTGTTGTTGTTTGATTTATCATCTACGGGTTTATGTCGAATTAATTTGATGGCCTGCTCCCAGTTGGCTTGTTAGCTCAATTGGTAGAGCGCTGCACTAGTATCGCAGAGGTCAGTGGTTCGAATCCCATACAGGCCTGAAATTTTTTTCAGGTCTGATTTTCACTATTGCTCAAATAGTGCTTTACTGCGAAGGATCGTGCACATATACGTTTCATAACCGCAGTTCATACATGTTTCATATGTTTGTTGTTGTTTCTCTTCTCTGCCCACCCCTGGTCAGATTATCTAGAAAAACTGACAATATTGGCAGCCTTGTGAGAAAATCTTGAGAAAAAGTTGATAGGGATATCAAAGCAAATTTAGAAAAACGCTCAAAACTCCAACAAAGAAAATTAAAAATGTAAGAGAAGAAATAGAAGATAAAAAAGAAAAAAAGTTACGCCTCTTACAACTTTTCACTGGTGTAGCTTTGTATCCCTTCTTTCCCAGCAGCGATGCACAGTGAAATGGCCACCATAACCAGGGGCAAACCTATTGCAAAATTTCACAGCTGAAAAAGCGACTTAAAATGATTCATCTAGTTAAAAACATTACCCACAACAGTATCTGATAAGTTCAAGTGTAAAAGCAAAGTAGCCCATGACATGACGTGATACATATACATCGTGGCGTTTATATTGTAAACTTTCACAACGAACAGGTAGAGATAAATTCCCTCGACCATCATCCAACAGAAAGCAGCCGTCAGGAAATATTGCATAAGAGCTGCTGCTGTGACACACACAGCCTACACAAAGAGGAGAAGAAAAGAGAAAAATATGTTGTTATTTTCATGTTTTGTTCGATTACAATATCTTCTAATTTACTCTGCTAAATGGAAAATGCACCCACCTTTTTTTCTGTGGCGTTTATTCCGGTGAGGAAGATTATTTGTCCAGCTCCCAAAGCCACAGCATGGCTCAAGCATATTTGAGAGAGAGGTTGACGGACATCCCTTGTAAGGTCAAAAGTGATATATAACATAAAAAAAAAAAAAAAAATTTGGTACTTGTCCCTCATCAAACTTTTTGGAGATTGGCTACCCAAGCTTAGATCTACTTGGTCTCAGTGCCATGAAAAAGACATGAAAAATCCCATGAAAAACCTGTGAAAATTTTTAATATTCATGACCCATGAAATGTTGTGTAAGGTGACCTAGAAGCCATGAAATACCCATGAAAATGGCATTTCATGGCCTTTCCAGAGGTACTGAAAAACCCATCAATTTCATGTCAAAAAAGTTCATGGTGTTAAAATTCACTAGGTTTTAATGGGTTGCAGCAAATCATGACCCATGAATATCCTGTGAGTTTGTAAAAAATTCATTGACCATGAAAATTTTACCTGAATTTTCATGGCCGTTCCGTAACATCAAGGTCTCTAAAGATATCTTGCTTTCAATTAAATTACTTAATTCTCCTTGATTTACGCAAGGAACGTCTGGGACCATGACCCCTTTTGGCGACTAAAACGGCTTGCAATTTCAGACTCGGCCGTCCCTACGGAAGCCCGAGTAACTAGGCTATTATGTTCTAATACCCTACACGTTATTTCTGAAAAGGTGTTGCCCCGAGCGTTATTTATGACAGAACAATCATGAATTATATCGCGCATTCCTATTTCATAACCGCGTGATTTTGTCATTGTGGTTAGCTGTTCCCAAATCATTTTGAGTCTTAACAAAACTAAAAACTACATTCAGAAACAAGTTGAAACTTATATCTTCCTCTGTTTTTACTCATTTACTTACTAATCATGAATTATATCGTGGATTCCTATTTCATAACCGCGTAATTTTGTCAGTGTGGTTAACTGTTTCCAAATCATTTTGAGTCCTAACAAAACTAAAAACTTCATTCAGAAACAAGTTTAAACGTATATCCTCCTCCGTTTTTACTCAAATACTTACTTTTATTAGGGTGTTGACAAAACGTGGGGTAGGCCCTCGTGTAGGCCATAGCCTACCCTGTGGCCTACCGGTGGTCAGATTTCTAAAAACAAAAATAACATCAGTAACAGTCGAACGAATACGCTGGCGTACAATTCTATGTCTCTAAAAGGGGTATACTAAGAGGTCGCTAACACGATTTTCAGCGTTCAAGAGAACGAAACAATGCAATTATTGCAGCACTCACTCAAGCACTCACCCATAACGGTAGGTTAAGGGGGAGAGGGAGAGGAGGGGCCAATAGTGCGTGGTCGCAGAGGATATGCAAAATGGCGGCTTCACGGTAGAGGCTGTTAGTTGGTAACATATAGTGAAGTGCTAGTGTAAAAATGTGTGAAGACACGGTGGCCTCATGGTTAGTGGGCTTGACTCCGGATCGAGTGGTCCGGGTTCGTGCCCCGGCCGGGACATTGTGTTGTGTTCTTAAGCAAGGGACTTTATTCTGACAGTGCCTCTCTCCACCCAGATGTATAAATGGGTACCGGCAATTTAATGCTGGGGTAACCCTGCGATGGACTAGCATCCCATCCAGGGGGGAGTAAAAATACGCCTAGTCCCTTCATGCTAAGCACCGGCCTAATGGGCCACTAAGCTCGTAAACAGACTTTACTTACAAGTGTAAATATGTAATGAACTGCGTTATATCGGAGAACATATCCAAGTAAGAAAGTGCAGACATTACTTACCAGGCCAATTTTTTAAGTGCCTCTTAAGTGCTGTAGAGTAATGAATTTGCAACGAGCATCCCGGGACACGCATGCATCGCCGTCATAAACAATTCGCAAACTTTACTTGCTTTTCCAAAGAAAGGGCCAGTATTGCACTAGTTTGAAAGGAGAGCTGATATGATGTTTGCCCAAAAGTTGGGTTTAACCGGCTTCTGTTCCTCGATTTCCTATCAGAAGGTAAAGAAAGTTTGATCGGAATGTGGCCGCCAAAACAGAAATCGAGGAACAGAGAAAATTTTGATCAGAATGTGGCCGCCAAAACAGCAGAAGAAAGTCGTTGGTAAGACTACTCAGGAAAACGTTCAAACGTTTCCAGCAATGATGTCCTTTAAAAATCTGTCCACAGGGTATGCCAGGGCCAACACCATGGCCTACCCCACGTTTTGTCCACACCCCCTTTATTACCTGTATTCTTTTCAAATATAATAAAAGTCAAGAACAGATATTAACAAGGTTTGATTTGTTTCGCCAAGAGAGCCT